CAGACAATCTGGATAGAAACGGACAGCAAGAATCACACTGACATCGGTTGGTGACCATATTTTTCAGTATTCCCACGGAGAATTACATTACCATCATCTTGTGAGGTAAATAGCACAGACAGCAATCGAAATTATCGTAGTATGGTTTCATTTCCCTGATGACACACAATAATTTGCCCAGCTCTCGGTGTAAGATAAAGTGATTCGAGAGAGGACAACTCGCCATAACAAGGCCAATACAAAACGTCATATTGTACGCGCCCCACATGTGAATGACCTAGTGCCTTAAATCGTTTTCTTGTCAACTTGTTGCTTATTTGCTAGCCACAACCGGTGGTCAGAGACCTGAGAATACCCCACATCTTCTGCCTGTAAAGGCTGAGTGTCGCACCACGACCTGATGCACACAGCCGATGGTACGTTCTTGGAACGTCAAAAGTGGTACAGATCACACACCCCCCTTGATAGTTTGGGGATTCAGACTGCAGACTAGGACCATCGGGACTAATGTAACCTTCCAAATACGCGAAACCCTACAGGATATCGGGTACCCTCCTCGAAATGCAAAGTGTGTTACGCAACAGGATCACGCTGAATGTGAAAAATGCATTTAGGGAGTGACGTAGCGAGGTTGGCACATGATGTACCCGCTTAACTGCGTTTCACGGACCTAATTCACATGCTGACCGAAAGGGAGTACGCCGAAAACAGTCTAAACGACCCGGGTTCAAATTATGTCAAATAGTCAGGCAGATAAACAGCTTGAGTATAAAGGTCACTGACTTGACTTGACCAGCAAGCAGGGAATGTTTCAGCGCCGGATCAAATCACATGATCAGAGCATATTCACCCATCCAAGGTCGCATTGTGGAAGGAGACGAGTGGGGATGTGCAATATGACCGCCTCTGGTGTCGAGTTTGAAACCCATATTTATCGATTCCTAGAGCCATGGTAGTAGCGGATCTCGCTATCTTACAGCTCCACACCCTAACGGGGTCGGTGACCATCAGGTTCCTTAGGTGTCACGTTGAATACTTCATTCCTAACTCTGGGATTCTCACCTCGAGTCTTCCGTTTACTTGCTCACCAAAAATAGACCGGACCGTTTCACGGGGAGACGGACTGTGAATCTGTACGACCTACACAGGGCTATACTTCGCTGCGACACCCTTGCTTATCGTGGCTAGTTATGTCCAAAATGCCAAAGACCGTTTCTACAACTAAGTTTCCTGGGACGGACTGAAAGTTCACACTTTCTTGTGGACCCTGGTGAAATGAACGTGCAAGTAGACTGGCTTAGGGTCACAAAGGTTCCACTGATGGATCGTCTTGAACTCGGTACCAGACACATGGACAACGGAAGGCGCCGACCGCACAAGCGTGCTGATCGGACGTATATGCAGTACTCATCTTCGAACCATCATCATCATCGACAGTACATAGTGTTCAATGCAGTACTCATCTTCGAACCATCATCATCATCGACAGTACATTAGTGTTCAACACTGATGCTTCGCCTGACCACATGTTACCCAAGAACCAATCAGTCGCCGACTACGTTAGTGTGACTGGATTGGTGTTCCATCTGCCGAGATCTGTCCCCATTGTAGCAGACGACAGGAGAAGCTAAAACAGGATGCGGCTGTTTCCCGTTACGAGGATTTTCCCTGCCTCGATATCCGTCAAAGCCGTCTTTCAATCCTAGACTTTTTGACATCAGGCGTTTGAGGAATGTGTGTCCCCATCTTTAGCTGGTGTATGTTTTCTGGAATGTTCGTGATTCTGACAACATTCAGTGTTAATTGAGTTGGGCAGGCGACTCCGGATAGATGGTTTCAAAGGCTATGGGAACTTATCATGGGTTAGTTCGATGTGTTTCAATTGGCAGAGGTGAGGCTATGGGACAAACGTTAGGCTGCTGATAGCTAAATGAAAGGTCCAGTTAAAGGGGTTGTGGCGAAGAAACAGTGAACAAAGGTCCGCAAAGAATAGGGTTGGATGATCCACTCAACCATGGGCCCCTGACTCAAAAGTTCAACCCATAGGACGAAGATTGGAAGACTCTGCCCGGAGCCGATGAATCGATAGTCTAATAAGCCAAGTTGCGCGGAGCTGATCAAGGACAGATGCCTGATTCCCGGTGCTGCTGCGTACAGCAAATGCCTCCGAAACCGAATTGGATCCATGACAGGCTGTATTCGTTCCTCGACCAAATCGGATGTGCTCCCAGTGGTCAAGGTCAACCGGTGTACATGGTGTTCTAGAGTCGACCTTTTCTAACCCGTCTTTCCCGGTAGAAGAGGGCACCGCCGCTTCCATAAATATGGAAATACTGGTCGCCTAGGGGAAACATTCTATTATTTTCACTCCGTTGTAGCAACTAATAGCACGACTTCATCTCCAGGGCGCCTTCACACAAGATACATTCACTGTTATCCGACGAACCGACGGTCCAACGGGAATACTAGAACTAGGAATGACTAAGCCTAAGTCAGTGTAGCCCGCAGGATCATTTTAGCACTGGAGTCTGGCAGCCGCGACAAGTTGACAGCACTGAGTCTACCTACGGACATGCTCAGATCCTGTAGACCACAATGATAACACGGCCTTTGACCCAGGGAATAAAGCGCTGAGTCGTAGAAGTTGACTTTGATATTAACAGTGCTATTGACTACTGGGGCGCAAGCAGATTAGATCCACAATGGTGATCTTCAGCGCGTGTGCAAGGTTGCGCAGACGTTATTAACGAACCGCGCAAAATCGCCCGTCGAAGGACCAGTTCGATCGTCTCGAGTCATAGGTAGCCAGTCACGCAACTGGAAGCAAGAAGAGACCAATGGTGGAGTTATTCGAGCAACAACTACAGCTGGGACAGTCTGCATTTCCACAGTGTTTCAGGGTGCGGAAGTCACTATCTGAAGATTGCTTTTTGGAAACCTGCGGTTTTACCGAACGAAAGATGCACAGACGTAGCGGCTAACGGCGATGCGGGGTGAACGAACTTGTAATTGCCTACCTATCGCTCAATAAAGAGATTCGTCAATAGGATGGGGAATGGAGGGACAAAGGAACACACCGAAGACAAAAGTTGGAGGCGACATCAGTAGTCTGTCTTTATTTGCACGTCAGCGCAGGTTTCACAGGGTCTACCCGAGACGTTTCTGAAGCCGACTAATAATGCTTCAGTGGTTCGGATGGAAGTAAAGTAAGATGACTTAGCTAACGGCAGCACACGACAATCAATACGATCGTTGCACGTGGGATAGCGCACAGCTGCGGCGCCCGAATCTACAACAATAAGGGGCTTCAAACAATGTCTTGAATTCAAAAACCCAAAGGACGGGTACCGATAGTCGAAGTAAGGCCAACAGCCACCAAGCAACCTACAGGACCGGAAGATTGATGATCAGAACCCCTCTATTCATTAACCAAATCTGTATGACACAATGTGCTCCAATCACACGGGTATTCCTCAGCAGAGCTCAATGGATTCCCAGCCATGCCATGATAAGCTCCATTCTAGGGGAATGGCGTAGTGACCACTTGGGCCATGACTGGCTCTTTACGGTCCGTAGTATTTATTCTGCTGCTAGTGGAGAATCCACTGTAACATGTGTCGTGTTTTTATTTGCCTTGCGGACTACTCAGACCCTAAACAAAACCGATGCAGTGCGTCTTGATACGATATGGGTTGGAGAGGTATCCGCAAACCACGTGCCTTCTGATTTCATTCCCCAACCGCCAGAGGATGATCTTATAATTACTTATATGCAGAGGGTATAGATATCGCGCTATTGGACAAGCCGTTCCGTAAACGAATACCCGTGCACGGCACACACGCCGTCCGTACTCTAGCCAATCATGTTCTGATAACGATAAAAGGGCCAATATTGTATTGCTTACTAACAAGCTTCTACAAGGGGGTACCTCGACACAGCTAATTGGTTTTGGCGCCAACTTACGGACTGGAAGGTCAGTGGTTCGAACCCAACATCAGCATATCGACTGCTCCTGCGGGGTATCCCATCTCTCGTGCCTCCTTCCGTCGGCATGGAAGCTAGGCACCGAACGGGTGCTACAGCCGGACGATTTATTTATTTATTAACAAAGGGGAGCGAAACGATGGATGGAAGGAAAAATTCCCCGACACGACACATTTGAAGAAAATGAGAGGGAGAGAGAGAAGACGATTCAACTGAAGCTTGTTGCGCTTGTAGCTATCAAGATGAAAGTGAAAGCGGAAGGGTGAACGTGCAGAATGCAGAACGTCAGAAAGAGTCCAAAAATTGAGAACCACAACATGTGTGAGAGGGAAAATATTGCAGTCATGCACACACCGAGACGGTAGAACTAGTGGATACCGAAATGTACGCATAAGAAGGGAACACGTTACGACGACAAGCTCTTCAGAAGTTACAAAAAGATGTTCCCCACTGAAATTGGCAATTTTTCACACGGAGTTTCTTCCAAGCATGTATCTGTTTCTAAACGTCCTTTCACAGCTGTGTCCACCCCGAACAATTGAGACCAACGTAAGGGGTTGATTGTGATCCGCTTAGAATTGCATTCACTGGAATAGTTATTAAGGGGACTTGGTGCTCCCGGAGCTATTCCGGCATGGTCTTCCCCAAAGCCGGAACCAATCAAATTAAGAATCATTCGCGGGCAAAATTTTGTGGGATCATTCAGGAATATATGATCTGGCTCTCCGGACAGTGACAGCTCGGTGTCCAATTTCGCTCTGTTACTTTGACCGAGATTTCCCAAAAAGACAACGGCATCTGTTCAAGAATATTTCTACCAGAGCTTCGGATAAAATAGATCGCCGGGGAGGGACCCGCACGTCTCACACGAATGCACGATTCCGCAGGTGATGAATACCAGTTGAGGTAGTGTGAATAGTGCTTACTGTATAGAACGGCAGTGGGACACTCTAGTTTTTTGCAAATCGCATGTGGTCAGAAGCCCTTACGTACACTTCTGTGGATGCCGCGTACGAATGGAAAGTAAGGGAGATATCTTGGCACCTACCAACTTGGAAGAGAATCCCCCGGCTATATGCTCCAAACATGCAACTAAAATGGTTTCGAGTGAGCTTTATATATCATGACTCTAGTAAGGAGGTCGTTCCTGATCACTTCTGCGAAATGACCTCAACGCCGAAGAGAACTCCCCACGTGGCGGCTAAAACAACGGATAATAAAACCCAGACCTGTTGCGTTTGACAGGACGGGGCAAATTAGTTTAAAATGTTTGGGACAGTGCAGCAACGCCATATAAAATTGGCGACATAAGGAATCACTCACGGCGACATTATTACCGTCCAATACACACCGAAACAAAACAAAAGAGACTGGCATTCTCTTGTCTTGTTTAGAGATGGAGGAGAATGGCTTGTTCACCGCCTGATACGGCTGATTAACTGAAGGAAATACCTGAGGAGTGGCAGGTCTACATACGCAAAGAAGACCTCTGCGAATCAGGGCGACAACAGTTTTGTGACCAAAACGTCTAAGCAGCACTCGTGGGATGCAATCTCGTTGTTAAAAAAAACAAGCAAGGGTCCATTCAGTTCGATGAATCGGTTGTCTTTACTTTTCGACAACTGCTACAACACGTCTAGTTAGATATGGCATCGAACTTGGCCACGGCTTATGAGGCATTGAAAAATTCATCTAGATGGACAGTCACCCTGATCCATCTCTTTTAAGCTAAGGAAACGTTGATGGCATGACATTAGGGTATGGTCTTCATCAATGCAATGTGTCCGGTACTGCTTTGTGGTCGTCAAACGTGGCGACTATTCGCTGAGGGTAGACTGCTTGCCTTCAAAGTAGCGCATGTGTACCATCAGAACGGCGGGTCATCAATGCTGGAGTGTGATAAATGGTTTTGAGGTGATATGATGGAAAGAGCTGCTGGTCAAGTTTCTCGAATGCCAGTCGATCGATGGCTGGCTTTTATGAGAGGCTAAGCAATGGATCATGCCGTTCAGGAGGTTGGACTATACCAGACCAATTCCAACACAGGCTAGGCACCACACAATGAGGCCCTGACACTGCCGTATCCACTCTATCCTTTGCCTTATGAAGCCCAATCGCCCTCCTTCCTAACTGCGCATTATTGGCGTTTGATCAGACTGGCATGGAGTATTCACGATTGGAAAACTGGATATAAACTGATCAGGGCTTGCCCAACGAAGGTGCACATGCGATAGTGATGTTGTCTTGCCAACACCGTGTTGGTTATACGGCCGAGTCCGCTGCGATGGTTCTACCAAAACGTGGATACTCCTGGCCAATGGAATATAAACTCGGTTAGGCGAGTTTCCAAAACCCGGTGGACTATAATCCACATGATTGATGCAATCAATGCCATGCCAAGCGTCACCCGTATGCACTGGTCAAAATGCAATCGGTATACCACAAATGTCTATAGACAGTGGTATGATGCGGGAATTTTGATCACGACTTATTAGGCGATAACGTAAGCATACAGTTAGTATGTAGCGCACCCTCCAATCCTACACTACGGTCCCTCTGGAATAAAGCCGATTCCCCAAGGCGGAGACGATTTCATCCGCGCGACGCAGGTATATGTAGTTAAAAAGTGCTTTCACGCACACACTGGAACGCTCATTGTCCTGTCACGCGACCGTTAACTACACAACTTAGGTGATGTCATGAGGCACTGATCACAGAATCTTACAGCTTTATTCCACCTGCTTGTTTCATTCTTTTATTTTCGCTTTACAGACCTTCGGTCCGACCAGAGCACCAAAATTCTACACAGTAAAACGGACAGTCGAGTTGGTCCACCTTCTCCCGAACAAATGATCAATTAATGAAGCAATATTTCGCTCGCATTTGTGAACAATTTAGGGGGAGTTTTCAAGGGTCACGCAGAGGAATGTGAGAAAGCTGTTAGAGTCCGTGGCGGAACACTGAGTTGATCCAAGGTCACCCATTCTGAGGTCCACAAGAGCATCTGAGAATGAACCCACACTGATCCACGCAGGCCCCAGAATACAGACTGCAAATCAAGCAGCTGAAGGCAGGACGCATATGTCAAGCGATCGGCTCATGTTACCGAATCTACTCGGAAAGCAAGTGAAACCAGATCAGCTGATCAATTCAGCTTGAGTAACTTCCATGGCAAAGTTGAGAAGACCATGAACAACTTGCTAATAGTCAAATCAACAGTTCTAACGTAAAATATTCAAATTCCGGTTTTGCTGACAGTATACAAGACTTGACATGTCTAAAATGAAAGTTAGACGTCAGAGCAGTTCCTGACACGTCCAACAATCAGTAAGCACGATAACACTGCGCGCACCGAGGAACACATGCGCAGACTGTCATTTTTGGTTGCTACGTTGCACTCATTCGAAACCAGCGGACTACTTATAAGATAGCCGAATGCTACAGCTCGGTGAGGATCGGGTGCTAGCGGTCCTCGTCTGACACTTGTCCTGGAATGAGAAAAATCCGTTTACGCATCCGCCCTAAGGTGAGAAACAACTTGTTTTGCACGGTTTTTTTCTTTCCATTAAGCGTCAGACCTAAAATGCTGCGACGGCCGCACACAGTTTTCTTTTGCCATCGTACGAATTGAGGACAGGTCAGAAAATAACATGAGATAATAAAGGCTTTGTGGGAAGTAAACCAGTTAAGGGTTGATTTTTAACAGCATTGCATCTTACGGATAAGCAAATGGTTAGTCGCAGGATGCCACCGCAGTTGCGAAGTCTGAAACGTTGTCAAAAGGCTCGAGAAAAAGGAAAGTCGGAAATGAATCATTGGATCAAAAGCTCAAGCAGCAAACGAGATCACCAGTCGGTAGGTCACCCACAAGCTAGGTTACCCTGGTAGTGCTACCGTGCCTCGCTACCCGTAATAAATGTAAACAAGCACTTTGAAAAGTACACTGATGACCATCGGTGTCTTTGAAGGGTTGGCCAGGACTGGTAGGGACACGCTGATGTACATCACATGGTCACAGGAAGAAGCAACTCCCCCGTGATAGATGAACTACTCACGCTTCATAGATTACGCTGGTTAGAACATGTACCCCAGATGACAGAATATCGTCTAACTTGCAGAGCTCTTTTCGCTCAGCCCTGTGCTGGATTAAAGCGACCGAGAGGTGCATGATCCGGCAACGAAGTATGAAACTATAACCAGTAAATTGAGTCGAGTCGACAACTGCCAACTCCGGGACTCAACTCACCAATGGTTAATGAAATTAGCAGAAATGGACCAATCGCGCAGTCAGTGACATTTTTGTGACAAAGTTATCGCTAATAAACTGATTCAGATCGACGTAATGCACTGCTCATGAGGTTGCTGAAAATTTTTCGACAGCCCACGATCGGTTTCGCTCTTTTTGGGGCTCATCAGGTAGGCGTAGTTCCCAATCTACGTGAAACCAAACTGCGCGCATTTAGCGAAATATGCTCATTTGCAAGCAAATCCAGTTTTCTGCGAGACTCACCTGGAACCCAGCTGAATCTTGTTCCTAAGCAACTGAATGTGCTACACCAGGCCACCTCGTGTTTCAGTTGGTACGATATTCGAGATATCGAGATAAACGAGGGAATCAGCTGAGTTCCGGGTGAGTCTCCTACAAAACCAAATTTGTTTGCAAATGAGTGTATTTCAAGGAATGAGATTGCATTAATGGCAAACAGACAGAGGATGTCATTCATCTACGAGGAAAACCTGTTTCATACCGAGTTAATCTGTGGGGAGTTGATAGGCAGAAGGATTCTGACAGGGAGGCCCGAATCCAGTTGTGTGATTGCTCCTCTTTAGGTCTGGGACGCCTGGCAACCGCTCAAACCCTCGTACATGTGTGGGATCGTATGACAAATATGCACCAAAGCATTGTCAAAATTGAGCGCTATGTTAGGTCGAAATCTCCTCAGTTTGAAGGTCCCGTGCGATTTGTGATCCTTTTAATCAACTTCAGCAGCCAATTAAGGTGCGCGCACAAGATAGAAAACATCCACAAAACAGTGGGCCAGCAAACTCAGTACACTAGGGTATGCACACTGGCGACAAAAACCGTGACTGTCCGTATTCGGACACCCCCGCGCTGGACACACTCCTCTCATCATAGGATAGTCCGACGCTCTGGTGTATTCAGAATTGGGGGAAATGCATATTGCTAGTCCACACATCAGGAAAGTTCCAGTTGTAATAAATAGTCAAAACAAATCAAAGTTGAAACGGGGCGCGCGCGCACACACAAGGATGCTGATCGACACTCCTCTCATCATAGGATAGTCCGACGCTCTGGTGTATTCAGAATTGGGGGGAATGCATATTGCTAGTCCACACATCAGGAAAGTTCCAGTTGTAATAAATAGTCAAAACAAATCAAAGTTGAAACGGGGCGCGCGCGCACACACAAGGAATGCTGATCGCAAAGGCGGACATTCGCTTGCGTGTGTCTGTACGTCATTCACTCCCACCGTGGCAAGCCGAGTGACAAAAGTGGGTGATCGCGAGGGTGGTGTAGCATGCTGGTGGTGGACTGAGGGAAGCATTGTGGTTGCAGTCCAGTAAGGCCTGGGGGTCGCCGCGAACGTAACGACAGTAACACAACACACAAAAAGTAAGGAACGTGAACATACTGGATAGACGGATGGATCGAAACAGGGTAACGATCTATACGGACCTTGCGCAGGAGAATGACAACTTGGGCAACGAAAAAAACGCTGATTTTTCACCCTCTCCGAAATGAAATGTTGGGAAAAACTATGCTAAACGTATTCCAGCGTGGTTCGGCTATTCGGTGCCAATAATGGTTTGTCAGGACACGAAAACAGACCACCAGAGACAGAATAAAAGTTGGACAAGTGCATCGCCATTTTCGGTATTTCGGAAGAAAGAGAAAAGACAATAATTCGGGGTTACACAGCAGCGCACCAGATATCAAAACATCCTCGCTGTTCCCGTGGGATGTTTTCCTTCCAAGTAGGTACGTAGTTATCATTAACAGACGGGACTTCCTATTAAAGTGGGGAAATTAGTTGCAGTTTTGTGAAAATTCAGGTGTTTCCACTCAAAGGGCGTTCCAGGTAAGATTTGCGCCAATTCGTCCTAAACGCGATTAATCCTGGATTCAAATTATGAATGATATTCGAATTGAGATCGTTCTTAAGTAGGCACGCTTTATCTGGACGTCCTATACATAGATGGAAGGAGCATAACTGGGAAGGGTTTACAGTATTGTTTGAGTGAACAACTTATCCAGGGACTTTTCAGCTGGATTTCACTCAGGGCGTAAATTTCAATTGATGTCAACAAATTGATGTCCCGGATGTTAGAACCGAGCTCAGCGGAACGGCCAAAGTTTACACGCAAGGGGAAAAACCGGCGTCGATCACTCGGCCGTCAATCCAAAGTGAAGTGAGTGTGGCCCAGCGGATCGATGGACCTAATCGATTCGTATGGCCAATTCAGACTTACGCACAATCGCTGTTGGATGTGCATTGCAAAGCACCAAACCGTTGTCTTCAAGTCTTAAATACCGCACTGGTGATATGCACAACTGTGATTACTGGAACAAGTATTGAGTTCTCTCTAAAGCGACGTTACGGTGAAATTCTGGGGCAGACGTATCAACTCATTGAACCATGGAATATTCACCTGCGGTGTTCCATACCACCGTTGCAAATGGTTCGGTAGCCTATGAATTCCAGTTTTTTCACAAGAGGAAGGGAAACGAGATGTCTCAGTGGTTAGAGCGCGAATTTGCTGACTGGAAGACCCGTGGTTCGAACCGGACCTCTGCCTCGCGACTTGGCAACCTGGGAGCATCCCAGCCTTCGTGCCTCTACTGGAGGCATGCCAGTTAGGCACCGAAAGGGTGCTAGAGATGAACGAACGAAGTCCAACAGCAACCAAGACTACAGTCTACATGACTAGTTGTGCAGGCCGACCAAGATGTTTCAATCGGGTCCTGATGATAACAGATTGAACAATGAACTTTTTCATTTTGGTCTCCTCCATCCTAATATTCTGAGTTTCAAATCGGGAAACACCTTCAAATCGGAGCACCTATTGACAGATGAACAAAGGAGCGCACATTTGCATAGTGGATGCTACTAGGTAAAATGAGTAGAATCCACGCCGCAACAAAGCCACTCGAATACTTTGTGTTCAGTGCGTTTGAACAGTGTCTCTCAAGTGGGTAGAATCATCATATTTCCATGTGGGAACGCGGGTATTCTGAGATACAACGTAATAGTCACGCCCGACCAGAAGGGGCTGATCGTTTGAATAACAAAAAGGGGACGACTTCACACACACACACCGTTATCGAATAGAGTAAAATTAGGAAACAAACAAAATACTGTCATCGCCAGACATCCTAGATACCCTGAAGAGAACCGTGGGTCATCATTCCGAACAATGCACGAGCAGTAGACACCATTCACGAGGAACAAAGATCGATTGCATTAATTTAGGCAGATATCGCCAGTGAGGCGAAATGCGGAAAAACAAGGACCTAAAGGACTAAGACCACTATGGAGGCAACACCACGCACTACCCGGCCTGTGACGGACGAAATCGATTGGATGTGCAAGCACAGAGTAGTGCGACGTTCGAGAGCGTGTGGTCAGTCGCGTCATCCGGACCGACAGCCAACACCCGAAACGCACGGGTAAAGTGTGCAGAGTCTAGCGAACACGTACACAGTTGTAAACACTCCGTTTATTGTCAGTAAACTTGGTGTGGTGAACATGAAACCAATTCACACAGGCACACATACGTAGAGAGAAAATCCGGCCATCAAATTGACTGAGAAGGCAACAGCATTAACCGATCGGAGGGAGGCCAGCATACTCAGCCATAACAGAGTTCCAAGTTATTCACAATCAGAAGAAGCAAATCGATCGATGGATTAGAGTTGAGATGAAAAGGTTTTGCTTCCGAATAAGAAAAACGTGATTGACATGCGGAGATATCAAAAAAAGAAATTATGGAAATGGAAGTATGCGGAGTCAGAATGAGGGGAACCCAAAACGTCTACAGAGACACATTTGCCTAAACAAAACAGTCGTGGATAGGCCGGAATTCACACAGGTGTTTTCCCAATCAAACACATTTGGAGGCAGTAGATAGTTTCCCACAAAAAACTAGAAGTCACCTATGAATAAATAATTGCTTTTTTTTGTGGTAATCAAGAAAGGCATGCGATAACCAGCGACATTTTGTACAATGTTAGGCGTGTCACCGTGGCCTAGGAAATTAATAAGCCCTGATCATCAGTTCGAGAGATCTGTTGCGGAATCCATTCAGCAACCAGACCAACCAGGGTGAAGCACCGAAGCAGGTGGGAAGGGAAGTTTGTTAAATCCCTATTTTAAAACACCAACAGAAGCAATCGACTTCTGATACGATCAACTACGTCACCTACTCTTACTGTACACCAGGGGCTCGTCATTGGCGAACGATGGTCTATAGTTTGCACGTAAGTGGTTTCCTATGGCGGGTTTCGCACTTGTTGGCAATAAGCTATCAGCGTCATCAGCAAATACACGACCTCAGTCTTACCAAGTCTGCCTACTAAACACGAGAGCGAAAGTGGTTGAAGCCGGCTGTCTCTGTAGTCGGATGGTCAAGACAGGGCAGTGAGGAAGTAAAGTGTCCTTGTGTTAGAAAATGATGGACAATAGTAGACCGATCCAGGAAAGAAATGCGAAAATCAGATCGACCAATGAGCAGCGTAAGACCTGTCTATGTCGGTATGCATCACATGTGGACGGAAGAGGCACAAGGCAATGAGGCAACACACAATTACGGCCACTTTGTTCACTTAGGCTTGGACAGTTTATTGGCACATGTCTGATTGAGTTAACCAATCGATCAACAACTAATCAATCAAAAGTCAAAACCTGAGTTCTGCTCGACTCAATGGAAAACAGAGAACACCTATTGGGTAGTGTACGGATAACAGCTTCGACACGTTTAAGTCAGCGATAACAGTAATCGATCATTCGGCAACAGAGAAAAGAGTATGCAGTGGTCATAGGATGCATCTCCCTCTCAAAAGCGCCTACGCCGAGGCGCGACCGAGGAATAAAAGAGAGGAGCACTGCATTGCTGAAATCGCCTTTTCTCATTCTACAAAGTACAGGAATGGCTTAACTTGGCGGTGTTGTAGTCAGTACACAAAAAACTCGAGATAAAACTGCCATGCGTTAACGTTCGCGAGTGTCCATCTACCTTCGGTATCATAACGCACCTGGCCTGACGTCAGGCATAATTCAATTGTCTTCAGGGACGGTCTATCATGTTTGAAAATTGACTGTTGGGTGAAGCACCGAAGCAGGTGGGAAGGGAAGTTTGTTAAATCCCTATTTTAAAACACCAACAGAAGCAATCGACTTCTGATACGATCAACTACGTCACCTACTCTTACTGTACACCAGGGGCTCGTCATTGGCGAACGATGGTCTATAGTTTGCACGTAAGTGGTTTCCTATGGCGGGTTTCGCACTTGTTGGCAATAAGCTATCAGCGTCATCAGCAAATACACGACCTCAGTCTTACCAAGTCTGCCTACTAAACACGAGAGCGAAAGTGGTTGAAGCCGGCTGTCTCTGTAGTCGGATGGTCAAGACAGGGCAGTGAGGAAGTAAAGTGTCCTTGTGTTAGAAAATGATGGACAATAGTAGACCGATCCAGGAAAGAAATGCGAAAATCAGATCGACCAATGAGCAGCGTAAGACCTGTCTATGTCGGTATGCATCACATGTGGACGGAAGAGGCACAAGGCAATGAGGCAACACACAATTACGGCCACTTTGTTCACTTAGGCTTGGACAGTTTATTGGCACATGTCTGATTGAGTTAACCAATCGATCAACAACTAATCAATCAAAAGTCAAAACCTGAGTTCTGCTCGACTCAATGGAAAACAGAGAACACCTATTGGGTAGTGTACGGATAACAGCTTCGACACGTTTAAGTCAGCGATAACAGTAATCGATCATTCGGCAACAGAGAAAAGAGTATGCAGTGGTCATAGGATGCATCTCCCTCTCAAAAGCGCCTACGCCGAGGCGCGACCGAGGAATAAAAGAGAGGAGCACTGCATTGCTGAAATCGCCTTTTCTCATTCTACAAAGTACAGGAATGGCTTAACTTGGCGGTGTTGTAGTCAGTACACAAAAAACTCGAGATAAAACTGCCATGCGTTAACGTTCGCGAGTGTCCATCTACCTTCGGTATCATAACGCACCTGGCCTGACGTCAGGCATAATTCAATTGTCTTCAGGGACGGTCTATCATGTTTGAAAATTGACTGTTTCGTTTCTTTCTTCGGATGGCCTAAGTGGTTAGAGCGCGAATTTACTGACCGGAAGGTCCATGGTTCGAACCCGACCTCTGCCTCTCGACTTCCCCTGTCTAGGCTTGAGCAACCTGGCAGCCCTCATGCCTCCTTTGGGTGGCATGGCAGCTAAGCATCGAAAGGCTGCTACAGCTGAACAGCTGCTGTTAGCGCCATCTAAATGAAATGCATTCAGTGCAGCTGGTAGGCGTACGAGTTAGCAAAGCTGAGAGATGAGCCTGTCGTGCGGTTTTTCCCCCACGTGAGCCATGACCTGTGGCTTTAAGTAGTTGTTTTTAAGATCTGTCAGTGAGACACTGCCGCATCACGTCTATGAACGGCTTCAACGGTGATAGTACCGTATTCGATGGTATGTTCAAGGCGAACGTAATATGACTTTCCCGTAGCGCAGGGATAGATGGCCTTGCGACTCTTCTTCAACCCCGTCCATAGTATCAGTTTCGTCCCACATTGCCGGAATGAGTATCTGAATACGTGAATATTTATGGAATAAACCTCCGTACAGAAAAAACAGAAATAACTAATCGAGAGACTTGACATTATTTTACTCGTTCTATCCTCACCAATTGCACAGGCGCGTGATTTGATGTAGAATTGAACGACAAGCACAGGCAAACAACTCTCGGCACCTCAGTTTTCGTTCCCTCACCATCACCTGCTCTTCCCCATGTTTTTCAAACCCTATCCGATGCCGGATAAAATCACAACGAGATATCCAGCAACCCAAGTACGACCCTGAATCTTATACCAGCAGCCAGTATATAGTAACCCGTAACACTGGATCAAATTCTAACGAAATATAGAATGTGAATCAAGTGGTGTCGCAAGCACTGTGAACAACAGCGAGAATAATGGATGGGTGAACATAAAATGCTGAAAGATGAAATCCAGGAAGGAACCGTCGGTGACTAAATGGTAACGAGAAGACACATAAACCGCGACTCACTTTCGTGTACAGAGGCCTGGGTTGAGCACGCGCTCTGAAATCGGAACAGCGGTACGTATATGTAAATGAGAATCAATCGGGTGGGTGGGTTAATCACAAAATACATTTACCATGGGAACAGTTAGCAAAGCGGATAAAGGGAAACCATCACTCACAGACAACCTTTCTTATCGAAGGTGATGGATAGCGTACCACTGAACATCACCATCATCATCGACAGCATGACATCAGTGTTCAACACCGATGCTTCACTGCCGTACAACCATGATTTATTTGAAAGCCTTATTGTAAAGAAAAGAGTAAAGGTGGACGGGGAAGGAACTTAGTGATAGCTTATCACTATCATTCCGAGGTGCCTATACCTCCAGACACTCACTCAGGCGATCTGGAAAGAAACTGACAACAAGAACGCCACTGACATCGGTTGGCAGCCATATCTTGT